TGCGATCGGATCCTTGCGGTTGAGGTCCAGGGGTGCACACTGCGATCCGGAGCTTGCCGGACAAGATTGGCGAAGCAGATTGGCGAAGAAGATTGGCGATGAAGATTGGCGATGAAGATTGGCGAGGAGGTTGGCGAGGAAGGAAGGAAGGAAGGAAGGAAGGAAGGAAGGAAGGAAGGAGGAAGAACAACTGTCATAAAATCTAACAACCCTCACCTGGCAGGTGGGGAACAAACACGCATAATCCTTGGTCTTTTTTTTCCTCTTCCGACTCGGACCCCTGTTTTCTTCCAGCAGTTCGCATCGATGCGTGCCAAATCACGACGTTTTGAGAGGTCCGAGATTTGGTCCCATGAGGCCACCCAAGTGGAATTGAGAGAGGCCCTGGAACCCACACCCTTCTCCCACCGTCACTCTTGCCAGAAGGGGTTTACCCATAGGGAATCTACTATTCACCAGAAGGAGTTTACCCATAGGCCCATACAAAAAACAATGTATCCCACTTCCCCCTGCCAGTCCAAGGACCAAGTTAAACCATGTTAAACCTAGTCCTTGACCTCATTGAGTACTGCTTTGGCATGACCAAATCCACTCAAGTGAGGTCCGCAAGGACCTGTAGCGTTCACATATTTCACTGCGTTTGGGAGACTTTGTGTCCTCGCCTCCGCGTTTCCGCGGGCGAAGGTCCCAGGATCGTTCGGTGTTCTCTGCGGACGATGCCATATGGTCGCAAATAACGCGGGCGAAGGGTGGTCCAACTGACCTCATTATTCCTGGAGTTGATTATGCAAGAACATGGGGAACATATATACTTCTGAATGTGGTAAAGGACCAGGTTTACTGGGTGCACAGTGACTCTGGTCATATTGCCTACGTTTGGTCTCAAAGAGTCAACGAGAGGTCTATCGACAGCATCTCAGTGACTCTGATCACTGAGGGATTTTCAGGACCAGGGCTACCTGCAGGGGTCGAAACCTGCCCTGTTCTCTCATGGAATCATTGCCCTGTGTGAGATTCTGAGTGGAGCTCCTTTACTCGAGCAACTCTCTCGAAGAATCATCACCTCCTTCTCTCTCTCACGGCACCATCGACATTTTCCCGCCTCATCTCCAGGCTTCAATCGAAGCTTCAAAGCAATGTAGTTCCCGGCAGCGTGCACGCCCTACGGTTGTCGGATCGTGGGGCGCTACGCGGGGGCCACGTCAGAAAAGACCCACGGTGGTTCAAAAAAGAACGGAGGCAGGTACCAAGCAGGTGTGGGCAGGCAAACAAGAGCTCAAACGGTCAAACAAGGACATTGGAAAATGCAAGAAACCCGAACGTTTGGGATGTTTGAGTAGTTATATAAAGGTGGGACAATCAAATCGAGTGGAGCCTATTCCAAACAATTGTGGAGATTTGTGGAGGGGTTCATGGTGAGCGGTGACCTCTATTCCTTATTACATGTTCCCCGGCCCCGTTGCGAGCCGGATAATTTTTGACGACCGTCCGGATGGGACGACCAGAATTCAATCCAGGGAGCAACCGAGAACATGCAAGACCACACGTCGCATGTTTGGAAGTTGAAGTCTTTCTTTGGCATTGCAGGACCTTTGAGTTTAACACCCTTACTACAAGTAATCTATGCACAAACAATCCTCTTCAGGTTAATCTTTTTCATCTGTTTTCCACCAATTATACTAGGGGCTGATGACATAGGAATATGCTCAAATTATGACATAGGAGTGTCCCTCTGGGGGTAGTCCTAAGTCATCAGCCAGTAGCAAACTAGGTGAACGCACCAAACTGACGGATGACATAGGGTGTGTGGGCATTGTGCCAGCAAGTTTCCCTTAAAAAAAACATGAAAGAAAGTACCTGCCCAAGGTGAATACATGACCAGGAACCAACAGCTGTTCTATGTCATCTACGACTTGCCACATGCTATTTGGCTGACACAGTCCTATGTCATATGTCGTCATATGCGGTTTAATGTCCAAAACCTCTTGAAATCCAGAAATTCTTTAAAAAAAAATATGAGACAACATAATTGTTCATGCCAGGGCCCTTTTCGCACGTTTTGGCCTCATGGCATGTAGTACCTTTCCACATGACATAGGCTTCTGCTACTTCGACTATAGTTTCACAAGCCCTATGTCATTGGCCCCTAGTATAGATTGCAGTGGGGGACCACTGCAATAAGGTATCCAAATATCCGCTGACTGGGTAATTGGGAAGTTTAAGCTCCCTTGCTAAAAGGTGGTTTATGAGGAGCCCCATGCAAATCATATAAAGGATATCGTATCTTTTGTGCCATCTACGGTTTTGCACAATCTTAGCAACCACTTTTAAGCTGGGATCCGACTGGTGGCTAAATGCGCCACCAGCGGAAGGGCATCAACCAATTCTGGGGCCTCTTGGCAAGACCAACTGCCAAATGAGACATCTTCATCTTGAAGGCTTCTCAAGTGTTGGGTCTCGATGCAAACTCCAGATCTGTGTTCCGTACGACCACGGCTCCATGAACTTTGTCGAGAGCTGTATTTCTGACCGCCTATAAAGGCTAAATGGGTAACAACTGCCCTGGGTCACCCTGATAATGTAGACTCTTGATGAATAAACCCTCTCCAATTGAACAACCTCTTTATAAATAGAGGGGTGACATAGATTGACATAGAGTCCACATATAAATAGGCTCCAGCAGTCACGTTCGACGGGGTGCTATCCATGAAGGTAGTCGGGGTGCCCCAGTCACATCCACGGTCGGATAAAACAAGCCATCTACCACCCCTGAGCTCGCTCTGTGACTGGCTGACCGAGCTCTGTTCTTCACTCCGTTTCACTCGGTCTCTCCCGGGGTCACCGTGCTCGGTGCACCGCTCGGTGCGTCGCCCACCTTGTCGGTGCGTCCGCAGCGCGAGAAGTTGCAACTCGTCCGGTCCTGGGAAGGAGTCGAGGGCCCGGAAGGGACCAGGGAGTCAGGGCGGAGGAACAGTGAGGGGATTCATGGCAAACATGGTTTCTAATATTGATATTGTATTGTGTTTGGATGTGTTTGGCTGATTGAAGAACGACACTTGGCTAAACTAGGTCAGGGCGCCATTTCGAATGTTTGGATTTTTCATCTTGAGGATGCTGACTACAATTCAACTAGGTAGAGGAAAGCAGGCCGGCTAAGATGCCCAAGTCTACAGCAATCCCACCACAACACCTGGACTAAGCCTAAGCTAGCATGGTCATCCTCTTCCATGCCATGCCATCTACTTCCATGCCATCCACTTGAACTCATCATGGAAGTGGATATCATGGCCCCGATTTCGGATGATTTTCCGAATGCCCAACAGGTGGTGCCATCCAGGAAATCTTCCGACCCTCAGAATCCGGGCCTCTTCACCAACAGATTTGCTTCATGCCCGGACCCCTGCGTTCCGGTGTCGAGAGTCCGAGCACCATGGAGGGCCCGCTCGGATTCCTAAAGGTCAGCCTTAGAAGTCCAAAGACTAGATTTTGACCGGCTGAAGTCAAGGAAGTTCCCCTTCAGGTCCCCGGCCCTCGTCAGACCATTCAGACTCTATAGTCTGACTGACTGACCTTTCAGATCGATCTCGATCTCCTCCCGTCCTGGATCAGCCGAGTCTTCATCAAGGCCTCGAAGAGCGCCGCCTCCACGGTGGGGCAGATCTTGGGGTCCTCGGAGACCACCGGTGCTGGGGTGGTTGAACCCCGTTCGGCGACGCAGAGGATGCAGGTTGGCATCAAAAACAGAAGGCACGAACTGTAATCAGAATGCTTCTTTTGATGGTATGTAGGAAAAAGGTTTGTCTAGACTATGGCGATGGTTCAGCAGCTGTCAAGACACCTCCACGTTTTTTCGGCTGTTTCTGTTTGAAACCGAAGCATCGCACCTGGGGGCTGGTTTGGTCGCTCCATAAGACAAAACACCATGCGCTGGCGCATGTGCCGGGGAGTCTATATCGAACCTTTCACAGGCCCTAAGTGGCCTCAAATCAGTGGACCTAAGTTTGACTTTGAAGAACCAGGTGGTTTCTGTCATGTTTCGGTCGGCGATACACCCCGCTGAAGTGGCGGGAAAGCATGTTTACTGTGCAAATCGAAGAAATGAATACTGAGATGCTGGTGGTTCATCTGCTGCTTGTAGTCCTCTCACCTCGTAACTATCCCTGTTGCTTCAAGATGTCACAAGTGACGCACGTCTCAAGCATGAGCAAACATGATTCCAACCCCAGAAAGCCCCAGAAATTTTGGGGGTTTGTCCAGCTCCCCAACGTGGCTCGGCATCGGCGCTCTGAGTCACCCGGAGACCACGTGGAGACCATGTGCTCTGTGGCCCGTCGAGGCTCTTGCCAGGCGTTGCCGTGGTAGTTGGTTCCCACGTAGGCCATCTTGAGCACCTGATGCACACGGAGATCTGGCTGGGGTCGTGATCAGATCCCCAAGAACACCCCAAGTACCTATCGTCGTCCGTGACTTCAAGGAACTACCTATTGCTTTCCTCAAACCGAGCAAGCATGACTGCTAGCTTAGACCACCACCACGTTCCACCACCCTTGATTAACTCTATGTTAATTTGAGGTGGGTACACCCACTCCACCTCATATGTAATTCACACAGTGCCAGACTGTTGAATTAATTTCTGCTTTACATTGGCTGTGTTTTTTGAGCAAGATCTTATGACATCAATGAATCATCATGGATCAATATATGGATCAATATTTTGCTCCCCCCTACAGTGACCCCATACAGTGACCACGCCCTTCAATTAATTTCCTAAGGTAGTACCCATGAGCAAGCCCTTTTCAAGATGGTGTTCCTTTGCTGCCTTAGATCAGGTGGCTTCTCTCCTAGTCTTCAACGAGGCTGGTCTTCAAGGGCTCAGGCCCTGCTTGTCAAGATGTGGCTACTATTGCCAAACCCTGGGTGAAGAAAAGAGATCCTGAGAACCTTTCCCCAGAAAACGGGCTCACTTGCCCTTGCCTTGAGCCTCAAGTCACCACTCCAAGAGGCGGTCGAAAGTCGGTTTGTGCAACATGTAAGGTGACCAACACTGGCAGTTATAACTGGTGCTGAAGCAGTTTCTAATGGTTAACCTCTGGATTGTTTTCCTAACAAAACTGCATTGCAGCATTAAATTCACCTGTCGAGCCATTTCGTGAACCGGGTGCTTCTAACTTCTATAATGGGAAAGCATTTCAAACATGATTTGTCGGCTTAATCAAGTCTTCTCTGCCCCTAATCGATCCAAATCGCCTGGTCCTGACCTGCAAAAAAAGGTCGTGTCACGTTGCGCATGGACTTCTGTTTGACCATGTTATGTCTTGACTCACTGCTGCCGGTCGGTGGACGACAAGGCCGGTCATCCCGTCGAGGAGCGAAATGTTGAAAGGTCGCTTTGGACCAATCGAAGTCCCGTTGCCCCTTCTTCCGCCTCTTGGCCTCAGACATCGTCCTTGGCCGAAACCAATGCGTGCATGCGTGTGACGTGCACGGGGCGTCGGAGCGGGAGAGGGTGAAGACATGCGACAAGAACCGATGCTGAAAACACGGGCACTGAGTTGGGCATGAACAACAACGGCCACCAATTGGCCCTCCCGAAAAAGAAGCGCGCGAACGGCGAGATTGGGTGTGGAAATCACAGGATTAGATGATTAGATAGATCACAGAAGGTGAATGAACCATCAAGTGCTCGGAAGGTGAGCACTGCTCACATTATGTTATTGTTAACGATTCGCAAGAAGCCACTAGGAACAAAGGGCATCGCTATTAGTAAGAAGGGCATTACTACTAGGACACTAGGAGCATTCTTGCTACTAGTAACAAGAAGTAGAAGTATTTTGAAAATTGGGCATCGCGACACCAAAGAGGTGGCGAAGAGCACCGGCCACACCGACTTCGCTGTCGGCGACTGTGGGATGTTTGGTGCAACTCTTGATCCGGGTGGAGGAACCGGAGGCAGTCTGGCGATCCCGTCCGCACCGTGCCCCATGGCATGTTCCGTTCCCCCGTTGCCCATTGCAGCGTCGGACTTCCTGCCCTCAACTGACACCCGGTTGAAGACTTCTCCCTCTCTCTCCCTCTCTCCCTCTCTCTCGGGGTCCGTAATGCGATGTTACAAACGATCGGTCGACCGATTCTGAGGCCCCAAAAGGCCCCAAAACTACCACACAGGCCCTATAGCACCAGGAAAAGCCAGCCACAGCCTCTCTCTCTCCCCCGCACCGAACCTCCCTCGGCTCCGAGGCGCTTGACCCGCTCCGGGGCCTCCGTCTCATCAGACACCGCGGCGGAATCGGCCCTCTCGTCGCCCATGGCCGGCGAGACGGTGAGACGGTCCTTCTGTGTGTTCCACCGTGGTGCGCCACTGTGTCCGGTTCGGCGGCGATGCAGCAAAAACATGCAAAATATCGGAACAGATCGAGTGTTACAGACTACAGTACAGTAATTACCCACTTTTGAGAGGACGATCATGGACCTCCTCTTTGAACTGAGTGGGGGGTTTTTGGGCCCCGGCGGCATCCCCTGGCCACTTCAGGTCCCAGGGTCCGGTCGAACGCCCCGCACCGGCCGAGGAGGAGGGAGTAAGCCTGCCTGGTCCAGTCGAGCCGAGTGGGTTCAAAGGTCAGGGTCGTTTAGACACACTCTTGAACTCGACTCATGGGACTGCCTTTCATGTCTGAGTCAAGTCGAGTTCGGCAGTCTCTGCGAGGTTTTCGTCGGCGTTCAGGTGTGGAGCGGAGTTGAAGGAAACGATGCCATCCAAAAACAGGTGCTGAAGCAGTGAAAAGGGTGCCCCTTTGGCCCTTTTGGTGTGACGGGTTTCCCAGTCCAAACAATGGCCTAGATTCACTAGTGGTGCTGGCTGGAACATGCAGAAGTCACAATTCAGGGCTGCCAAAGCACCAAAACCATGAAAGAAACAATCATCCATTGTTAATGTTTGTAATTATTACTATGTTGTCATGCTTTTAAAAAACTCAGAAAGTGCTCAGAAAACTTTAGCTACCCGAAACGTCATCAACAAATGTGCGTGTGACTCCGTGTGACGTCACATGACTGTGACACTCTTTCGGTTGTGCAGTTGGAGAGAAGCTCAAGCTGAAGCCCAGCTGTGAAGAATTCTGGAGCGTTTTTGGGCGCGGCGATGAGCGAGCGCAGGGCAGAGCCCTCTGGGACCGGGATAGCGAGTGCTGGGATCCCCCAAGTTAAACAAGCTGTGGCTGTGGGTAGGTCATGCAACATGATGGTGGACTGGTCCTCCAAGTTTTGACCCACCATGTAAGAACCTGAGTGTTCACACACCGCTTTAGCACTTTTTTCCCCCAAAGAAACCCATGCTTTTCCGCAAATCCCTGGTCTCAGGAGGAAGCACGGGGAATCTGTGACACTTCATCCTGGATTCAGAGCTCCTCAGCTTCACGGCCGTCTGATTTGACTCTGGGAGAACGACCGTGGTCTTTTCTCACGCAGCCACGCCTAGCGCCCGCAGACTGTCGTTGCTTCAGATCTCAGCGACTGTGCCGCCCCCTCAATCGTCGACCCAAACAGGGAGCTAAGTTAATGTTTAATTGTTACCCAGACGCTCCATGGGACTGCCATATAATGCCGATCAGGCCAGGGGTGGCTTTGGGGTCAATGTAGGCATATATGGCAGTCCCATGGAGTGTCTGGGTTACTTATTTGGCTGGTCTAATTCCTTATGTCCTGTCTTCCATTGATGTTTGGAGTCTGTTCTGTCACCTTTTGCCGAGTCTCCTCTGGAGTTCTCCACCTTCTCCAACTCCCACGTCCCCGGTCCCGTGCGGAGCGACCGCGAGTTTCGCGTGGCGGTCGACGCCCCCCCAAACGTGGCTGAGAGGACCGATCTCGCGCTGGGACTTGGGCTTCACCTGGCGCGGCTCCACGGCCCGTGTGCGGTCCACGGCTGTGGCAGGTGTGCGGGACTTCAGCGCGGTGTCCATGTCCCGGTGCGTCCTCTCACCTGGTGATGTTCGATGTCAGATGGGCGGTAGGGAACTGAAGAGGATGTCAGATGGCCTGTACTTCCAATTCGCTGATGTTATCAACATCTGAACATCTTCATAAACATGCATGTTCAGATGTGACATTAAGACATTCTTCCTTCTTTGTGCCAAAAAAGTGTTATTACAACAAAGTTCCTGACAGCTCCTGACCTTCCCAGCACTTGAACATGATCCGGAATAGGAGGAGCCATCCTCAACGGGATACAGAGGGTGGAACAATTGAAGATACCAACTGGACTTAGCATGTCATGCCTCATCGTGGAGTTCATGTTGCCCGCTGATTTCGGAGAACCAAGCAATGATCCTAGAGTGGCTACAAGGGCCAACCCCCAAAACCTGGCGCCAGAGTCAAAGTGCACCATATCTGCCCAACTCCTGCGGTTGGCTTTTCCATGGCTTCTTCGGGTGCGCTCTTTGCACGTGCTGGGCCCCTACTACAGTTCCAGGCGATGCCTGGTTTCTCCAGGCTGCTTTGGCACTGGTGCTTAGCTGGGTTCCCAGCTGTTTCTCCTTGCCACCGATGATCGTGATTCCCCGGTTCGACTTGGCGACAACGCAGCTGTGCAAGTAAAGTCACATGAACCCCCCCACAAAGAACAAAGCTTCACAAATTCACAGCCCAGGGTCCATGAAGATTCCCACGTTACCCAACGACCGACCACGCCACTGGCCACGCTGCTGGCGAACCTGGATTGAGCCACTGTCATCGTGGCGTCTCATTAACAAAAGGCCCCTCAACTTGTGAGGACTTTGCTCACTTCCAGCGGGGCATGTCCTTTGCGCAGCGATTGAACATCCTCAGCTGAGCCAAAGAGAAGCTCGGTAGAAGCCGGTGGAGTTCGGTTTCCCATTGGCTCAGTTTACTGCTTTGATGTTAAGTAACTGAAGGCTGCTCACCTCCCTTGTCGTTCAGGGCCGATGGACTTGACTCAGCACTCATTATATAGGCTTGGGCATGTCCAATGACCAGGACGGTTTGCGTACAACATTAGCGCCTTTGGGCAACTGTTACTGCTAACGGGGCACACCCAGTAGTTAGGGACCTGTATAACTCGACCGGACCTTGACCCATGGCGGTACTAAGACCTTCGCGGCTCTGGATGTTGTGATAGACTAGGAGCTGCACCTTTTGTGTCATGGACCACCGGTCAAAACGCCGGGATCTCTGGGTTGGGCATATCCCATTAAAAGTGAATACGGTGGATTGTGCTGGCCATAGGTTGCAGGCCTTTCTCAAAACATCGCGGTCATCGATCATCCTCTACCGAGCGTTACTGGTCTCGGGTATTCTGCATCTTGCGCAAACAATGGTTTGTAGACCCCTTCTCAGTCCTGGAAAATGAAAGTTCTAGTGCGTGGGAAAAGCCATGCTGCCCAAAAGGATCGACACACCTAACAGGGTCGGTGACAAATCAGGGCAAGCACTGCTTGCCCAACTGGTTCAACACTCCAACTATCTCCAACTCACTTCGCACGGAAGCCGATTTTGGCCTTGGCAAGGCCATACATCTTTAAACATTTGGGTGGTGCATGTCCATTTTATGGAGGTCACCGTGAAAGAAACTCTTACAGTAAATCGATCTGGAGTTTAGGTCATCGCCTATGTTTTCTGGTGACATAACACGATGAACCGATTAGAAAGGACATATTTGGAGCAAATCTTGTATCATCTAATCATTCATCCATATCCACTTTTTTAGTATTGGTCGAACCTCTGGTAGGTATGCATGAGGTGGAAGAATTGGACGAAACTGGGGAGTGAGTGAAAAGCCCAGGGCGGACTTTCACCAACCCATAGTGTCAGTCCCTTCAAATCTGCCTCGAGTGGTTGTGGCAGCACACCTCACTTCTCCCGGGGCCGAGGCACCAGTTGGTCAAATCCCTAGAGGTCCTGACGGACAGCGGTGCGCGCGGCGCCATCTCGCGCCAAGTCGGCATTGCACCTTCAACTCACAACATATGATCATCTCCCTGAAGTGGGAAAACCTTCACACCCTCAAATCCATTTCGCCAAGGGTGTCTCGCATGGTTTCCAAAAGCAGTCATGTCTCAGTCGGGGGTCCGTCTCAGTCTCAGTCATGTCTCTTCCCATCGGCAAGGCTCGTGAAGGAATACCCGACTGCGGCCGAATCATCGTCCGAGACCCGGATGCGGCACAGATCCCCAGCGACGTCCTGGAGTTTCCACCTGATCTTGCCTTCATCGGACCTGCCAATCCTCCAATTTTTGGTGTGGCAGATCTACTGAAGATGGAAGTGGCTGAACCCTCGAAAGTCATTCACCCTTTTTCAGAATTCAATAAACATATGGACCTTCTCCACCGGAACGCAGGGGGGAAAACGGACTCGAACCATCTCGAACCCGAAAAGAGGACCCGGATTTGGAGAGCACTGCACTTCATGAAGGTGATGTGCATTTGATTTGTGACATGACCCACTCTAATAAATGCCCCAACTTGCGACGAACATTGAACAGTGGATGGTCCGTGCATGAGAAATGCTGGCAATGAAGACCCTTGGTTCTTCAGACGACTGCAAGAATGAAGAGCAATTAGTAGGCAAAAACACACGAAACAGAAAAGAAAACTAATTAATTAAACAAACAAACAAACAAACAAAAACACACTTAACATAACATTAATATCATAACACATTAAAAAGCCAAAATAAAAGACATGTCAAAAACCATGGATGGATGTTCATGCACCGAGTCACCCCTATTCTTGGATCCTCTTCTTCCCCTGCCCCCTCTTTCGTCCCCGCCTGAAGGGACGCTTGGCCGCCGATCGGTTGGCCAAACGGTCGCAGAGCTCGCAGTAGGCGCGGTGGTGGGTCTCAATTTGACCTGCAAAAAGTCGGCTCGGTCGAAAACAGCGGAGCCCGGCGGCGTTCGGGTTGGGAAACAACGCCGTGCCTTGAAGAAAACGGATCATTGAAGTCTGTCTCTAACAGAAGATCGTATTGCTTTCCGAAAGGCAGAAACAACGGAGCCAGGCCCGGAACAGGACACCGTAGCGGTGAATATGCTTGGGGCGCCAAACCGTTCGAGTGGTTGACATTGAGTGGTTGTGGGTCTTGGCGTGCCAGGCGCACAGTGATTCTGTGGCGCCGTTGCGTCAGGAAGCGAAGTGGCTTCACCATGGAATCTTTGGATGCAGTTTGCCAAAGGTTGAAGAACCCAATAGACTCTCCTATAGGTGCCCCAGGTGACGGGTCCTATAAGGTCACTCACTTAACCTCTGTTGGTGGTTCATCTTGTTCAAGACACTGAAGACGAGGCTTACGAAAC